GCGTAACAGCTAATGCTAATGGAAAGGAGACCAGGGGCCATTTTTTTAATGGATGTCAATGGAGGAGAAGCTTCACTACGCTGAATAAACAGCTTTTTAAAGGAAACAGCTTATCATTTAATGAATCGACAGCCCATCGGATAATCTTGAACATGTTTTACAATAAACAATACTTTTGGATTGAACTATATTTAGAGTTTACACCGAAAAAATGTGAGTGACAGGGGCCATTTTTTTAATGGATGTCAATGGAGGAGAAGCTTCACTACGCTGAATAAACAGCTTTTTGTAGGAAACAGCTCATCATTTAATGAATCGACAGCCTATCTGCTAATCTTCAACATGTTTTACACTAAACAATACTTTTGGGTTGAACTATTTTTAGAGTTTACCACAAAAAAAAAGGTTTTATAAGAGAAGTCACTGCCTTTTTGCGACAGGTGGGATTCAGCTTACGGCATTTCTCATTCATTCCTAAGGGATCCGTAAACGATGACTGAGTGTCGCACAACTCTGACTGAAATTCAATTACGTCAAGGCTGTAATGTGATTGGTTAAGGCACACATGATCCAAGTTGACCGTTACGCTTTCTCCAATAGTAAGTAATACAGACCCTCTTATCTCCCAATAGTAAGACAATCTCTAATATTGCCAGTAGTATATTGGATCCCTGCACTCAGCTTTAAAGGGACAGCAGACTAATTTAGTTATTGTTGTCTGTCATTATTGTTAATGAATAAACAAAAGAAAGAAAGAAAATCACTCACCGCTCTTGACTGAATCACTTTAGTAGCTCTAATAAGGATTAATCTAAATTTAATTTATATAAATAAATATGTCTGCTTGAAAGAATGAAGGATGTCGTATGCAAGTTGTTATAAAGAATCCATATTATATAACCATTGGTATTTCACTGGAAAGAGGACCGTGTTCTTGTTTCGTTGTGGTTTTATTTATTTTTTAGATGAAGATATGTTATGTGTCACAGCAGTTAAATCTATCTGTGGCATTTTCAAATCATTCATATTACCACTTCAATAGATATTTTCTCCAAGAATATATAACGAGTTATATTTCCCTATAACAAGGAAATTTGAGAGGAATGCTTACTAAACCTTGACTATCTACTGTAGGTTTTCCCCTGCTTTCACAGACAAGGCTTAAGCCTAGTCCTAGACTAAAATGTAAGTCTGAGCTGTTTCACCTGAAAGAAACTTGCACTGACTGATCTTAAAACATCTCAGTGCCTTTATTTTGTCTTAAGATGCACACCAATTGAACTATGGCCTAATCCTGGCTTAGGCTAAGCCCTGTCTATGAAACCGGGCCTTAGTCGACTAAAACTAGACTAAGACTAAAACAATTTAGATGACTAAAATATGACTAAAACTAAATGCCATTTTAGTCCAAAGACTATGACTAAATCTAAATCAACATTTTCTGTCCAATTTAACAGAGCTGTAACCATAATATGTATTTGAAAACCATGTAGATCTGAATATTTCAGTTACTTTGATAAATACTCCACTTTAGTTTCTCTTCATTCGAGCCCTTAAAATCATTGTTATAAGACAGAAAGATCCTTGAGCATTAGTTAAAGGTCATTGCGCCGTGATAAACACCACCCTGAAGAACAGGGGCCTTTACGGTTCCTCCACTGGCGGAGCTTATGGTCACTGTAACTCCTGTCTTTGAAGCTTTTGCAGCCGCTGCACCGGATGAAGCTCCGTCTTCAGCAGAAACCTCATCTGAAACTGATGGAGACATAGAGATCAACTAAAAATGCATAACAGTTTAGATCAAAAATTCATAGATGTAGATGAACAAGTGTCAAAAATACCTTCTTGAAGTTTTCCCTTAAGTTGATCAGCAAGATCATTTTGCTTAATTTTGCGCAGCACTCTGATTGCAATCTTCCCGGCGTCTGAACTGCCGTACTGCTGCACTATGAGATCCACAACCTCATGGCGATTAGCCTTCTCCAGCTTTCCACGAGAAATAGAGTTGTCTTGTGTCCCGCTATTTGACAGCTGCCATTTGAATTCTTTGAACTCTGCTTCCAGCAGCTCAGAAAGTGCATCAAAAATCACTGTAGCCATTTGGTTTCACTATGGGGAAAATATAACAATACAACATGATCAGCTTCATTGTGATCCAACATGATCCCCTCATCAGAGTGAGTGGATATAACCTGCATAGTTTCAATTGTTTTGTGGTCCTAGCAGGGGATTCAGTATGCTGTCATTTCATTAATAAACTTTACTGACTGAGAATAGAGTTGCCACCTTCAGTGTGGCAAAATAAGAGACACCCTTTCATACTGAGTATTTCAACACCTGACACCTTGCCAGTAAAACAGAACAGATTTGATTATTTGATTTATTCCTAAAGAACTCCTCCAGGATATGCCTGAGTGCAATCATTCTGTCTGGAACCGTTTATTACTTTTTAGACAATTCGGCACAATCTGCCGCTGTTACCTGAATGGGATGCATTTGTAATCAGGACTACATTTTAAATATTTGTCCCATTTTTTTAGTACATTTTTAACTTTTTTCATATCATAAATTGTATATGACAGGGTTATTTATTCTGTAACCTATGAATGATAAATTAATAAATAACATTATTTATAAACTTAACATACACTACTAATGAAACACTTATAATCTTAATACCAGTCTAAATAACATTATTATATTAATTAATTATGATAATGTCTAAAATGATAATTATCTGTCTACAGAGCTCTGTAGAGCCCCCACCCAATAATGATTATCTGTTAATTTGCATAAACGGAACCACGTTTTTCCCCCCCTTTATGCTCAAAGTATATCTTTTAAAACACAACTATTTTTTCCTTATATTTTCGTGTTCTAAAACAGTGGAATCGAATCATTTTTCACAGTGAATCTATCGATTCGAACCCAGAAAGCAATGAACTGAACCCCATTCTTTTGAAGCGACTGACTGAACTGCACTCTTTTGTACAGAGTTCTTTTTTAAACAGAGAGTACTGAATCAAACTTCAAAATCAAACTGTTCTCAGCTGAATCTTGAATTTACTGACCTGAGTCTTTTGCATTGAATGTGTTGAACTAAATCTTTTTGAATTGAATTCACCAAACTGACTGTATTGAAGTTTATTGAATGAAATCTATTGAAGCATATTTCCTGAGTTGTTTATGTTGTACCATTTTGAATACCACAGAGTTATTTTTGATGTTTTTAGTTGACCAAGCATGACAACCCTACACTGTAAAAAAAATTCTGTAGTTTTTACAAAATCATTTTGGCAGCTGTGGTTGCCAGAATAATTTTGTAAAAAAAAACACATTTACGGCCAAAAATGGCTGTACATTTCACAGTATAAAACTGTAATTTACAAACAAGAAAAATTTGAATGTAAACCAGTAAATTCAACAATGCACACTGCTATTAAAATCTGTTTTGTACCTTTAACATACTGACAACTACCATAATAATGCAGGTGGTAAAAGAGAAAGCCACGTGAAGAATCAAAGCTCATCACAAGTAGCTTCGCCACAAGCAGAAGTATATACTAATATATAGAAGGTGCACAGAGTCATTCATGCAAACACTAAACACCATCATGGTAACACACATGATTCATTTTGGCAGCTGTGGTTGCCAGAATAATTTTGTAAAAAAAATACAGAAAAACCCATTTACGGCCAAAAATGGCTGTACATTTCACAGTATAAAACTGTAAGTTACAAACAAGAAAAATTAGAATGTAAACCAGTAAATTCAACAATGCACACTGCTATTAAAATCTGTTTTGTACCTTTAACATACTGACAACTACCATAATAATGCAGGTGGTAAAAGAGAAAGCCACGTGAAGAATCAAAGCTCATCACAAGTAGCTTCGCCACAAGCAGAAGTATATACTAATATATAGAAGGTGCACAGAGTCATTCATGCAAACACTAAACACCATCATGGTAACACACATGATACTTAAATAATGCATTCAACTTTCATTAAACAACAGAAGATGTAACATAAAGCCCAAATATACATAACTAATAACAAAAACTATAAAAAAAAAAACATGATTATTTAAACAAAATAATTTCAAATGTGGAGTGTCATGCAGGGAATTCTGGGAATCTCAGTTTACAGTTTTTGACTGTAAATTATACATTGATTTGTTATTTTTACTTCTAAAAACTGTCAAATTAACAGCATTTTACTGTAAAATTATATGAAATGTCTGGTTAGATATTTTACCGTTATTCCCTGTATATAGTACGGGAACTTACTGTTAACCTATTAACATTTTTTTTCCGTAGCGTTTTTACACAATTTTACAGTTAAAATTACACTTATTTTTTACAGTGTAGCTGTGCATGACAGATCAAGACTGTAATACTAGAGTATTATCCATTAGAGGGAGCACCAGGTTAAGATTTTATTCCTGTACATTAGTTTTTCCTGTAGCTATATATGTTTTATTCCTAACTGGTGTGTATTTTTGCATATTACAGATCAGTTTGCATACTACAAATCAATACAAATCAGATTTAAGATTAACAATATGTGGAACGATATATAGCAGCTTAATCACCAAACCATATGAGCTATTGGTGCTTGGACCTCGATGGCTATGCCTTTGAGTTTATTTATTTGTAAAAACGAACCCTGAAGAGTGAAGTAAAATCCTCTGCACATATTTGAATGACTCACACCGCAATTACAGATCAAATATTTGTCAGAATAAAGAATATTGTTTGTATGTTGGTTTCAAACATGTTAAAGCGAAAGTCTACCTTTCATTTGAAACCAACATCTCTGTAAAAAATAAATAAAACACACACACACACACTCACACACACTTTGTGTAATTAGACTTAAAGAAGTCACTGAGACCTTGTGACAAATCAAATATATCGAAGGACTTACGAAGTTGAATGTAAAGTTGCTGCCTTCTCTTCCTGTTTTCTTGCTTTGGTCGGTTTCACTTTTGCACTTGTTTTTTCCTGTAGATGAAAGCAATGCCCCCCAGCTCAGCTTGCGTACTGTTTTTTCCCACCCATTTCTTAAGAAAAATGAACAACATCTGCCCAAGAAAGAAGAAAAAAAAGAGCTGTTTTAATCAATCTTTTAGATGCATTAAGAATATACGCTGCTTTTAACTTTTTTATACTTAAAATATTTATTGCTATACAGATGTTCGATATGTCTTGAAAGTTCTGTACAGTGATAGTGAACTGTAAAAAAAAATCAAGTTAATTTAGAAATTTTCAACTAAGTATTAATTAGTAACTAGTTCCACAGTAATTTTAAGTTCAGTCAATCTTCAAAGTGTTGCATGAGTTGTTTATTTTTAGATGGCTCAACCTTTACTGAAATAGTTTTATATTCCACTCAACAAAAATTTTTTAATTGGTCAAACATTTAGAAAACTACACAAATTATATCAATTAAAACTTAAGCATTTATTCCATGTATTTCATATGTTTCATGTTTCATATGTTATGTCGTGAAGTCACTCAGGCTCTTGCACGTGCAGAATGATCTCAGTGTTGGCTGGATTCGTTTTTATAAGTTCAGTCAAAAATTTAAATTCTGAATGTTGATTTGAAAATAACCCTTCATTCAATGGGGTTTTTTATATATATTTGTGTAGACTTAATATAATGTGTTTTTAATTAGCTCAACTTTTTCTCAATCTATTTCTCAATTTTTTTTAGCTCAATCTATTTTTGCCCTTCCAATATTTTCTTAATTTGATTTTTTACAGTGTGGTTATTTGGTAATTTTTGAAAATGGGAGGCTAAAAAGTTGGAGGATGACATATATATACATCCAGTAAGTGGTATATACCTGTGCAAGCTTTGGAGGTGTTGATGGACGCGATTTACTGGATTTATGCTTTGATAATCGTACTGAATATTATCCAGATGTAGTTTTTGATAAAAAAAAAAAATCTCTAAATTTTGCTCAAAATTATGCATTTTTATGAAACCTACCTATATACAAGTGTTGATTTAAAAAAAGAATGTTTTAAGCTAAAATAAAACAGATTTTTTTTTTTTAAAGTAGAGGCTCTGATCTTTATTTTGGTGTATTACATATTCGAATATTCATACAGAAAAATATACTGGAGGCCATCCAGTTTGACTGAAAATCATAAAAATCGCTGGCAACTTTTTTCAAAAATGCTGGCAGGGAAAGAGTTAAGAGACGTGTAATATTTGTGCTTTTGAATCTGAATCACTTTTATCTGATGTTTGAACTGACATATGTGTTGGCAGTGTGTGTACACAACCACCTTATAATGATAAAATCCACCCAGTGATTTTTTTAAATCCTCACAAATAACAATCTTTCTCAGATCAAGCCATTCTCAAAATCGGGCCAGATGTACGTCACACAATCCAAGGCCCCTCCCACGATTGTTGATTGACACTGGTGTTTTATCACAGCTCCGCCCTGAGTGAGCTGTCATCAGTGCGCCATTGTTTCACCGCCGGAGCAGATGTAGACAAGAATGGCTCCTAAGCGATTGAGGTGTTCTGTTGTTGGATGTAATAATGAACATAGCAGTCGTCATTTACTCATTACATCTGAGCCGCTGAAGACGCAGTGGATTACCTTTGTTTTTGAAGGGAATGCGTCCCCGATCTACAGAAGAAGTGAGTAAAGCGCAAATCACCTTTCCTTATAATGTGCTAATTAGCGAGTTCCGCAGCTAAATGCGGTTAAAGTTTACCGTCTCTCAGAAAACGGCTTGTCACCCCACGGAAGAGAGGGGCGGGATCAGCAGAGCTCATTAGCATTTAAAGGGACATGCAAAGAAACGGCTTGCTCTGAAAAGAGCTGTTTTTGACAGAGTAAAAAGGGTGTTGTTTTACACTAATACTGAGAAATTTTAACCAAAGTATGTTATAGAATTTTCATGAAGACCCTAAAGAATCATACCAACTTGTGGAAAATGGGCATCCGATGACCCTTTTAATACTTGTCCAATAAATCATTAACATCTGTAAATTCATTGGTCTGAATTATAATCATTTAGTCCATTTTGCAAATAGTAATTAGAGCATCAGATGTCCTAACCTCAGCCCCAACCTCCTCCTCCATCATTTCCATCTTCATCTCCGTCCTCGTCCTCCTCTTCCACACTCACCCCGTCCTTCTTCTTCTTCTTCTTCTTCATCTTCCTGTCCTCTACTTTGTATTTGACGCATCGGATGGGGTCGGTCATGCTGCGCATTTTACCCTCGTCAAACTCCTCGTTCATCATGAAGTTCCTGTCGATAAGCTCCGCCCCTTCCTGCCAGTTGCGGTAGCAGTCCGGCCCCAGTTTACAGATTTCTTCCACGGCGTCGGCTGTGAGAACAGAGCAGTCCGGGCGCAAAACCACCACCCTGGGCAGATCCTGCACCTCGAACATCACACTCAGCTCCCTGTTAACGACACAAACACATGCATCTGATGGTTACACACAGAATGTTAAACATTGTTAAACATGAACTTAAAAACTAAAACGATTACAACATTTTCTTAATAAGTATGTGTTAGTTAATGTTCGAATTAAAGCTGAAACTAAATATAAATGATACAAACTTGTTAAATCATTTTGTTTAGCACTAAACAAATTCTGGAAATAAAATCAATCAAAACAAAGAGTGAAACAAAAATTAAAACAAAGCTAACTATTAATATTGAACAAGAAAAATTAAGAAAATTTACAAAAGCACGTAATTACTAAAAATTTAACTAAGGTTAAAATGAAAACTGAAAGTATAAAAATA